ATGTAGTCTTTGTTGGATTCAAAATGCTGCATAATCATCTGTAGAAGTAGTGTGGGTAAACTGGAAAATAAAAACAAACAAAAAGCCACTCTTAATATAAGCCACACTGACAAAGAACTGTAACTTCAGATGCTGGTGCCTGAGCTTCTACCAACATGGACTCCCGCAGGCCTCCCCTACTTTCTGTGCTTCAGCTGCTTTGAGAATTACTAGATAAACATCAAGGATTATGCCATATCAAGTCTTCCCTGATTGACTTCATTTTGGCATATGTCAAAAAGCTACCAAATAAGAGGACAGCCCGTGGCTCACTCGAGAGTGCGGTGCTGATAACACCAAGGCCACGGGTTTGGATCCCAATATAGGGGTGGCTGGTTTGCTCACTGGGAGACAGTGGTGCTGATAAGTCAAGGGTTAAGATCCCTTACCGGTCATCTTAAAAAAAAAAAAAAAAGTTACCAAATAAAAAAAAATTAAGAAACCAATCAAATATTCCACTTGAGACATTAAAACCAAGCGGAGCAGACAGCTCCATCCTGGGACCCAGAGCAGTGAAGAAGAGAGGTCTGTGCCAGTCGGCCCCTGCCTGGGCTGAGCGGATGCTCCGAACCACCAGAGCAGGGAGGGCAGGGTCACTCAGGAGCAAGATCCCCATGATGGCCAATTTCTCTAAGTTGAAAGGCTATTAGTGTCACACAGCCTCAAGAAACTTCACATAATACATGATTAACCACAGAACCCTGGGGCTTGTTTCATTCAAGAATGTGTATTTATAACAAAGAAACCTTATGAACTATGCCAGTGTACATAAAAATGTCACAGTGGAAGAGACTGTCCCTGGCTGCTCCTGACTACTCGTGGCAGTCAGCGAGGAGCTGAGTTAATGCTTTCTCCAGACATGCTCTGCTCTCCTACCCGCCCCCGCCCCCATCAGCAGACACTTAAAATGAGCTAGATTTTTTAGGTTTAAAGGAAAAAGAGGAAATGTATTTTTTTCTTAAAAAGCAAGGACACACTAACCTCTTTATGATCAGCTGTACCACCAAAATTATCTTAATGGGTACAGAGAGCTTGCGCGTCCATAGTTTTTAAATTCCCCAATTAACTGAAGTTGGCTCT